CTTGTCATTGGCCGGCGCTGAGAGCGGACGTTCCGAAGGGGCGGGGTAGAACGCTTCGGGGCGCCGAGGGTTTCCTCCCTCCGAGTGACGTCAGGGTTTCCAGAGGTAACCCGGGGCAACGAACCCTGCGAGCCGGCCTCGCGCCGGGCCACGCCCTGCCGCCCCCTCCCCGCGGGGCTGGGTGCGGGGTCTCGTACCCAGGATCCTGGTGGGGAAGGAGACCTGCACCAGGGAAGCTCCCTCTGCCTCTCTGGGAACATTTGGAGGCCCATGGTTCGTGGCTATTCTTTACTGTCTGAAAAGTCAAATTCAAGTTGTCCCGCAGCATTTTCTCAGGACGGCGGAAGCTGGAAGCCGAGAAGTCTGACAAGCCCCTGTCTGGGCCACGTGTGTTTCCAAAGACCATGGCATTGTCTTGGACAGACCCTTTCCTGGCCTAGGCTGTTCTGCCCAAATCTTTCCCTCTGCTCTGCTTCTCCCGGTCACCCTTCAGAGCATCCAGAATAATGTCGTCTCCGTTCTCCCCCATCCTTGCTCTTCAGTCGCTCATGGCACGGGTTTAAAATTTGTTCCACGATAGCTAGACACGGGATATGCGAGCTCTCTGTTGGCCCTGCAAACCCGACTGATGCTCCAGCAGCACACCATGGTGGTGAGGAATGAGCGTGAGGCGTAACATTCGTAGCTCTTAGAGATGAGCCCGCAGTGAAGCCCACTGAATTTCCAGCTCCAGTCTAGACCAGGCCTCCTCTGCTGTACAAAGCACCTTTTCTTTATAAAGGGCTGAACTAAACCTGACACCTGAACCTCTCCAAGTTGTGGGACGGTAGAAGCTAGACCCAGATCCAAAGTGTGCAGCACAAGCTGCTGGTTTTGGAGGGTCCCAGAGTTGTGTTTGAATGCTCTATGGCCGGAAACCATTCATACGACTAAACTCCTTTTGCAGTTTCAGGGAACTTTGTGGGATTTTTGGTCTCATGGTTTTGGCTACATCATGAAAAGGGTTTGTGAGTAACATCAGGTCAAATATTTGAATATTTCACTTCATTTGATTTCCTGTGCTATCTGAACGCACTGTCCTAATCAGCACTTAGGCACATTTGCTCAGGAAATTAGTGAGTAGAACTTGGGTCATTTGGAGCACGCCGACCCGACCACAGTCCCTTTGCACAGCCACGTGACCTGCTCTGGAGTTTCCCTGAGACACCGCGTCGTTTCAGTGCTCCCCACCACTGATAGCCAAAGTGCTTAGTCAGCACTGAGAATTAGGCACTTTTACCCCCCTCAAGCTTTACCAAACTGAAGCTCTTTTCAAAACTCCTGAGTCACACCATTAGGTTAATGAAACTGGATTTACAATTTTGGTGGTATTTATTTGTGTTTGGTTCTTGAGTCCTTAGGCCACATGTTCAATCATTTCTCTGCAACCAGGGAGGCTAGCAGCTAAGCTTTCTTGAAAATAAAATGTAAGGTTTTCATGCAATCACATGATTCCAGGACCTGAGGCTTAAAGGCAAACATACCAGCTATCAGGAAAGTTAGTGACTGTACATTAATTGGATCAGGGTTTTACTTTTTTCCTACAGCATAACCTCACTGATTTCCCTAGAGTTTCATGTCCAAGAGAAGAGAGCCACGTCCTGGGTTATTTCATGGAAGTACAGGGAAAAGTACCTGCTTCTTCCCATCACTTCCTCCTGCAGCTCCTTGAGGAAGCAGTTTCGTGTGTCAGCAGCAAGCACGCTTTCTTTGCAGCACTCCTGGGAAACCTGGGTCGAAATGGGTAGCATGGCCTTTAGCTACCATTCATATGAGAGGCCCTGCTCTCCTTCTTTTTGCTGCTGACTGGTGTTTTGCCAGCACAACCAGAGAGGTGATTCCAGCCAAGTGTAAAAGGTGTGCACGCTTTGCACATGTAATCACAGCTGCTTACAGCAATCCAACTCCAGACCCTTTGTGCCGCCAAGCAGGGTTGGGTTAAGGACACAGAGGGAGTGGCATCCCTTTGAGTACTGAGCACCTGCACTGGAAAAGGGCCAAGCTCTCAACAGAGCTGGGCCTCCAAGAAGCAAGGCAAGCACAAACTGAGACATCCTGAGCCTGCACTCCATACTCACAGGAGTTTGCTTGGCATTGGTGCTCATTGGGTGCGATGTTCCTTAACTGGCACACCAGGTCTCCCTTCTGAGACTAGGGGTAAACGAAATCTGCATCTGAACTATGCTATTCAGGGCCTGTCTGCTTAGGGTACTATTGGTGACTAACCCCTGAGATCCACCTCCGTGACTTTTTCTCTGAGTTCTGGGTACCACACTGGGACAGGGGAGCCATGCACCACAGTGAATAGCTGGCCAGTTGAGTCAGCAATGGCCTATAGTCCCTCTGCCAATCTGTGGATGGGCAGGGTCTAGGGCAATGGAGGCTTCCTGATTAACTTGCTCTCCCTGCTCCAGGGAAACAGGTTCCAGGGGCTGTTGATTTTCCTTCTCTTGCCCTTCCCCTCTGCACAGAAGCAGGCATCGCAGACACACATGAGTGAGATCTGCCTGTACTCCCTGGGATGGCACGACAGGCTCATTAGAATAATTGGACTGGTGACTCCCCGATGATCTCACTGGAATGTCATGCTGCTAGAATTAAGTCAGACACCCGCAATCCAGGCCAAGGGTGTAATTAGTAACCCAGCTTGAGGAGAGTGGGAGAGAAGATGCCAGGGGTGACTGGGAAAGGCTGGAGCATGTACAAGGGGTGTGTCATGTTCTTGTTATGTGACTCGATCAAGACCTGATCAGTACAGAACATCACAGGCCTTCAGATGTCTCACTAGCGGTTCCCCCTCTCAGAGTAGGGCAGGAGAGGGTTTCAGTGAAGAAAATGAATGCAACCCTGCAGGCAATTCTTCTTCCAGATGACTGCACAGATTTATTAGCAGGCCTGGTGCTGTCAGTCACTGAACACTTCTCAGGCCTGCCCACCACACCTCTCTCCAGCCACGCACCTCACTCTGCCCACAACACCCCTCCACTTCCCTCTGCAGTCATATCACCTCTCCCCAATCTCCACTCCTGCAGTTGTTCCTCATGGGCACATACTTTTTGCTGTGTTCCACCTATGTGTTTATGCAAGAGTTTGCTTTCCCACTACCAAGGTGGCAAATAAGGACAGGAGTGTGCTGGGGCCTGTATAACTGTGCAAGTACTGTGCAAGGGCCAGCAGCCTCTCCCATCATGGTCCTGTGGGGCACAGGCTGACCTTAATACTGATAGAGTATGATAGGACTATCTGCGGTTGCCACCAGACTCCCAAGAGCAGCAATTCTCAACCTTTTTAAACTCAAGGCATCCCTCGTTACACTTGAGGCACCCATTGGAAAACTCCA